CAGTAAAGCTTCTTGGCCGCCACTTTCGCCAAATGCAATGAAGCTTCTTGGCAAAGGATAGAAATGCGGTGATGAAATTTCTTGGCAAAGGATAAATGCAATGACGAACCTTCGTGGGAAAGGATTGATCGCATTCTATAAAAAGCTTGACGAACCTTCGTGGGAAAGGATTGATCGCATTCTATAAAAAGCTTGACGAACCTTCGTGGGAAAGGATTGATCGCATTCTATAAAAAGCTTAACGAACCTTCGTGAGAAAGGATTGATCGCATTCTATAAAAAGCTTGAGAAACAGCTCTACTTCCCGCCTCTCTGGCTTCTTGGCCGCTTTGTTATTCAACTCCGGTATCCCAAAAGGCCAAAAGAGACACTGAAAGTTGATTTCACCTGTCCGATGGTTATGAGTTAGGTTGTCGAGAGACTTCCGAGATAACTATTGTCAAGAATCGGGGACGAAGAATGTATTACCAAAATCCTCAGCGGGGAGGATTCCGAAGAAGATCAACAATTGAAAATTGTTTATTTTATTTTATTTTATATGTGTTGGAAACTTATTTATTTGATTCTTCATGTATTTGTTTGTTTTTATTGGTACATCTTCATGTACTTGCTTCTATTGCTGAATTAGTTTGATGATGATTTATCAGGTGCTTGAAGATGGTGTTCTAGATCCAGAAACAACAGTGGTGTCTGTATTCCCAACTCCCATATATTATGCCTGCCCAAATGAAGTCCAGTGGCATGAAATATCTTTGATAAATTCAGGGGCTAGCTTTTACATTGTTGGTAGAGACCCCGCTGGTATGGGCCATTCACATGATGCTTGATCATGGAACAAGGTATATATTAAGCTCAGTTCTGGGACTTAAACGACTAAATTTCCTTCCTTTCAAGGTAAGTACAGTATTCAGGATTCAATATTTTCATTAAAACTATAGCATTGCTCTGTCCTATAAATATGTGAAATTGCTAATCCTTGCAATTGTTTTTTGTTTAGGTTGCTGCGTTTGACAAGAATAATGTTACATTTTTCTTTTCTTTTGATCAGTAAGAATAAGGCTAACTGACTTTATTTGATTCCACAAAGGGTTTAAACAACTTCATATTGGGCACCAAGGTACCTTTTCTCCACGTACTCCTAAGATTCATGTTGCTTCAGGGGCTAGAAAGTGCTTATCAACGTTGCAATAATAACTTACTCATCTTTGCAGCGTGTTGCATATTGACTTTTGATAATGCTTTTGATTACATTCAAACAAATATTAAACATGTTGAGTTGAACTATTCATGTAAAAAAAATGAAGTTATTTTATTATGTATTTCTTCTATACAAATAGAATTAATGGAGAAAATTGTGAATCGAACTATAAAATATTTATGTAGAAATTTAAAGGATGAATTATAGTCTATACAAACATAGAGTTTGTCTAACCTAAGAGTGCAATAAAATATATCTTTTTGTAATTAATTTACATTAAAAATTATAAACATTGATATATATTTTAACATTAATGACATATGAATAATTTTAATTAATTAATTAATTAAATCAAATTTAACATTTATATTTTTAATAAAAATTAATTATATTACCTTGTGTCTAAGGTACATAATAGAAAAGTCCACAAACTACAAAGGAAAAATTAAAGCAAATCATAGGATATGCAAGCAGATATTTAAAGAATGAATAAATTTTTGAAGCATTATGCGCACTACTTCCATTTGAGATAGCTGAAAATAGGTCTCTCTGGCACCGGTATACACTTGACGATCGAGCCAATGGGCCAAGATATAGCAGCCATGGCGATGCAGGCCCCCCATTGTCCCCAATTCAACCTCTCTGTACCTGCAAACCGCTTTAGAAACTCCACCGTCAGCGCTTGAATGACAATGATCATTCCGATGATCCCTAAAAACAGCTTGTTCTTATGAATACCCTTGAATACATTCTTCTTTTCCAGCTTTCTTGCGTTGAATTCATTGAAAACTTGACAAAGCACGGAAGTGTTGAAAATCAAGGTGTCATTCACGGCTTCAGTTACTTTGAATATTGATTCTCCTTTGAATTGCAGGGTCAGGAGTATTGTAATTTGGTAAAGAGCTTGAGCCAGGAGGTTCCTCCACATAATATTGGTAATCAATTGCTCTGTGCGGCCAACAGGCGGCTTCTTCATCAACTTCTTGGTGGGCTTCTCTGTAGCTAGAGCCAGAGCACCCAATGTGTCCATGATCAAGTTCACCCACAAAAGCTTAGGTATTGTTAAAAGAGCTTTTCCTGCAAAAATGGCTGTCACGAAGTTGATCACCAGAGCTGCAACATTTGCTGTTAGTTGGACCTGAATGAATTTTTGTATGTTGGTGTAAACGCATCTTCCCCACTCCAAAACGGTAGCCACGGAATCGAATTTGTCATCCAGGATGACAACATCGGAGCTCTCCTTCGCAACTTCCGTCCCTTGAATCCCCATTGACAATCCGATGTCAGCTTCTTTGAGTGCTGGAGCATCATTGGTACCATCTCCAGTGACTGCAACTACATGTCCTTTCTGTTTCAAGCACTGCACCATGAGAAGTTTGTCAAAAGGGGACGATCTTGCCATAACGCAGATCTTCTCCACCTTCTGCATCCTTTCTTCTGGTGTATAGTTGCGGAATTCCTCGCCTTCCACAACGGCCCCTCTGTCCTGATCCGGCCGGAGAATCCCACATTCAGTGGCAATAGCTCTTGCTGTGAAGACATTGTCGCCAGTAATCATCTTGATGTTCACTCCGGCATACCGGCAGTCCTCCACCGCCTTTTTCACCCCTGGCCGACATGGATCCTTGATACCCACAAGTCCCAACAGGGTCAAGTTTTCCCCTTCAAGCTTTTTCTTCTCTTTCACATCTTCTTCCTCTGTTTCTGCAACTTGTTTGTGAGCAAAAGCAATGCATCGGAGGCTGTTTGCTGCCATTCCCTGAATAATTTTCTTGAATTCCATCCTTTCTTCTTCATTAAGATCTTTCATAACTCCTGAAGCATCATAGTAGCTTGAGCACATAGCCAAAATCATTTCTGCTGCTCCTTTCCAATGAACGTAAACTGTGTTATCTTCTTTTTTCTTGATCAAAACTCCGCTCTTTTTCTTCTGAGAATTGAATGCTTCCACAAAGAGAATTGTGAAATTCCTCTTCATTTCCTCCATATCCATCTTCATCTCCAGAACAGCCCAAGCAAGAATTGCCTTTTCCGTTGGACTTCCAGAGAATTCAAATCCTGACCCTGTAGAACCTCTGTAAACACTACCGGTCGTGTTCAGAGAAACTCCTTGATGAATCAAGTTAACAACAAATGAAGAAATTGAAGAATAAGCTTCATCCATGGTTTCCTTCCCCAGCCAAAACTTTGTCACCTTCATCTGATTAAGGGTAAGAGTACCTGTTTTGTCTGTGCAAATTGTGGTAGTAGACCCCATAGTTTCACAAGCAGAAAGGTTCCGGACCATCGCCTTATCCGCCATCATTCTCTTCATTGAATAAGCCAAAGTCAGCGTAACAGCCAACGGCAGCCCTTCTGGGATAGCAACAACGACGATGGTAACGGCAGCAGCAACTATCCCCACCACAGCATTTATTATATCATTGGATTTTGTGCTGCTACCGTTGAACTCTGTGCTTCCATTCTCATCCTTTGTATTTCCGGTGAAGTAACGAACCAACAACACTACAAGAACCAAGAGAGCCACTGCCAAACCGACCATACCTATTGCGGACGTTAGCTTGTTTAACCGGATCTGCAACGGCGTCTGCTCATTGTTGTCGCCTGTCAATTGGCTCATCATCTGGCCCCAAGTCGTGTTCATTCCAACGGAAGTGACAAGCATCCGAGCATACCCATCAACCACCTT